AATGTTTATTTATTTTTGAGAGACAGAGCATGAGAGGGGGAGGGGCAGAGAGGGAGATACAGAATCCAAAGCAGGCTCCAGGCTCTGAGCTGTCAGCACAGAGCCCAACGTGGGGCTCAAACCCACAGACCTCAAGATCATGATGCCCAACCGACAGAACCACCCAGGCGCCCCTAAAAATGTTTTATTGATGGAGGTTGCTACTCTAATCAGAGCCACTGACTTCAGTATCTGAAGTTTGATCACAGCTAGTTAGGCTAACTTGGCCATGGAACTATTGAAGACTCCCAAGTAATGCCCCATCCATTTCAAGAATACAGAAATAAGTATCTGTGAATTCTGTCTCTTGTCCCGTCCTCTGGACACCTAGGCTTCTCTACAGCGGTCTCATACTAACAGCCTGCAGTTAAGGAGTGATAAGACAGAATACCCCCAGACGGAAGTACCCCATTTCACAGTAGGTAACAAAGGCAAGATAATCTTATTTTAGAAGAACCACTTTACCGTTTGTCCCAGAAAAAAAAGGACCTATTGCACATACCACAGACTTTGGCTCTGCACTGATTGGCATGTGACCTTGTGGGCATGTTTCAACTGTGAAATGAGAGAAGCCATGAGGGCCCTTCTACTTCCTTCTCTTCATTTTCTGCATGCCCATCACTTCTAATAAGGTAAGACTGTACGTTCCTTTAGAGCGAACCCTTGGGAGTCCTGCAAATCTGAGGGACTCGTGTCTCCTAGGGTAAGAGTATCAGTGTGACAGCAAGTGAAACCAGAGGAGATTGCCAGGACACCTGGGCTGGCTCAGACCTCAGCTGCTGGGCTCTGATTTATAAATGAGAGCAGACAGGGAGGTAGGAGGGCCTCGCACCAAAGTCAGCTCGGAACTGCTGGCCCCTGCTGCTGATGACAAGGTGGGCAGGGCCACATTCCCCAGGAGGCAAAGCTGAGTCACCAAGGCAGAAACCAGGAGATGAGTAAGTTTCTCTCAGTCCCCAAAGAGGGGACGGTGCCACCAGGGAGCAGAGTGGAGCTGGTCTAGGGTGAGGCCTGCTGGGAAGTCCTTGCTGGACACACACTCATCGCTGTGGGCGTTTCCTTTCAAAATGAAAAAAACATACTCTTTATAGGTATCATATCTGCATATCTAGATCAGTCCAGGGTGAGGGAGGCCTGTGAGCCTAGTTGCCAGCACATTCGAGTCTAATCCCAGCTGCTTCTGTACTGACCATGTATGGGTAACGGATGTGTAAATGAAAACACTGCAATTTCACCAGCCCCAAACTCCTCTGGGGCCCATCGACTGGAATGTTGGTAATGGATAAAAGTCCTAATAGCCAACCAGTTGGATGGGTCCTAGTTGACAGGCACCAGCTGTGGGATGACCCCCAGGACCTACTGTCCTCCAGGACAGAGGTACAGCGAACAAGGCAATTACTGGAACAGCTCTGAGCCTGGATCTCTGCTCCATCCCTTACCAATCGAAAGGCCTCCGCTTTCTCTAAGATAAGAACACCCATGCTGTAAAGGTTAAGACAATTAAATGAGACACTGCATGTAAAGCAGCTAGCAGATGGCAAGCACTAAAATAAATGAAGCTGGGCTGTTAGATTTGGAACCAGATAAGGAATGCTCAAACTACACTTCCCAGCCGATATTGCAGAAGGTCAAGTGACAACGCTTTTGAGACCACTCTGGCAGAAACTGCCTTTAAAAACTAAGTGTTTTTGTTTTTTTTCCCCCCATGGCTTTCCTGATAGCCATATAAGTGGCCAGGAGGAAGAGGCAGATGGGGAAGTGCTGATGGTTATAAAGAACCAGCCTGTTCAACTGGTTTGTTCCATGGTGCTTCCTGGCCACAGGTTCGTAACATGCACATTCATTATATTCTAGAACCGTAAGCAAGATACATGCATTGTATGTGTACACATGTACATTTACAGACGCATATGCGATGTGACCTTGACTGCACCACGTATGTAAACTGGCATTACACTCAGCTGGGGTAAGAATGCTAAGATTAGCCCCTGAATTTACTCTTCTACATGGAGCCGGACATTAAAAAACACTTAAATCACCAGTGAAAACCACCCCCAGGGACAAAGAGCTGTAAGCAGACAGCAGGTAAACAAACCTCCTTCAATGAGAAAATAGCACCTCCTAGTGGTACATTGTTAAACAGAAATCAGGGCTGGAAATACTCTGCAAATCCAGACACAGGCCCCACTCATTGTTTCCAGTTCCAAAAAGAAAAGACTCGTATTAATAAATATCAGTAGCTCAAATTAAATTTTGCTGGACAAAACTCTCAGCTAACTTTCCCTCTTGTTACTTTTTTTACTACTACAAAGAGAGTGTGTACACACGCAACCGGGGGGAGAGAGGCAAAGGGACAGAGAATCTCAAGCAGGCTTCACACACAGTGCAGAGCACAACACAGGGCTCGATCCCACGACACCGGGATCATGATCTGAACCAAAATCAAGAGTCAGACACTCAACTGACTGAGCCACACAGGTGCCCCACCCTTTCTTTTAACTGACCATTGATCAAATAAATGATTGCTACACATTTACAGGAAATGAATAGCTCAAAAGGAAAGATGTAACTTAAAGAAAACTTAAAATTCTGACATATAAAAACTCAGATTTGTCATCATGAAGAGGGATGTCAAAAGAAATAGTAAAGCAGCTCCTATGAAATTTTAAACTTACAAATTCACAAGAAAAGGCTACAAGATAAAACAATCACCCAGATTATAGACTAAAACTACATAAATAGAATTTTTTTTTTTTTTTTTT